TTATGATGCTGGAAGATGAGCCCCTCAGGTAGGAAGGTGTCCAACAAGACAGCTTTGCAAGACACCAAATCCATTTGGAGTAAGAGTCCTTGGAGAAGTTACTAGGACTGGGGGGAAATGCTTCCTCCAATCCTAATTAAGTCTCCCACAGGACTCTTTCCATTGTGAAGACCGCAGAATCCCTAACAGCATGAAGTATCCTTGAATGCTGTGTGTATGAAACTATGTTTAGGTGCTATGTGCTATGAAATGCACATTATTTGGGCCCAATTTTCCCCATTTAACTCTCCATTAAACATAGGAAAGAGAAGGTTAAATGAAACTCTTTCCAAGCTGTACTGTCAAGTCATCACCTTTGATCTCACCTACATCTGAATTCTATGAGAATTGCCCTAAGGTGCTAGATAGCTAAGGTTCAGGGATAGGTGAGCAGGAAATTATTTATCTAATTCAGAACAGTTTTACATGGCTGTGCTATAGCAGCGAATTTCCTAATTTGCTCCCTCCCCCTGGATGTCAGGGAGGGTGTCAGGAGCAGGTCAGTAATAATTCACATAGTGTCAGTGAAGTTAACTCTATTTGTTCAAAGAAACAAAACAGCTTGGGAGGCCAAGCCTAGTGAACACAGCAACTTTCTCCAGTAGCTCTTGCCCCAATGAGGTAGTTGTGAGGACTACCGGTCTCTACCTTCCCACAGCTCTCTCAGTTTCCTCCTAACCTGGTTCCTTCCCAAGCAATCTGAGGCTCCTTCATCTTGCCCGTCTTTGCTCTGCCCCCTTCATACCTATTTGGGTTCTGGGAGACCAGGGGGAAGGGGAGCTGCCTATTGCAGGAGGTGGAGACATCCTGGCTTCCTCACCAACCTGTCTGCCTCATCTCTGCCTCTTGGCCTCCCTCCTCTCCTGCATCAGCTTCTACTTCTGATTCTGGACTGCTCTCTGCCCTAGCTTCATTCTTGCTCACTAAACCCTGTTACCTCTTCAGCTTCTGGCACCCCTTCCTCCCAGTCTGCTCCTCCTTCTCTCTCTGACCACTCATTGTCATCCCACCATCAATCCCCTAGCTCTGAGCCTTTTTCCCTTGGGGGTTCCCTTGCTGGTGCCTCCCACCACTGCTCTGCATCCAGCTCCTCTATGACACTGGATTTCTAACTAAAGTGGATAGACTATTTGCTAGGCAAAAGTTTCACAAAAATACTTACAATAGCTACTTTTTCTTTTGCACAACGGTCAAGTTGTTTTCTTGACTCTTCCCATCCCCGTAATGTGGATAATGTGCCCTTTAAGTTGTAGAAACACAGCAAAGTCATTTTATTTTAGCTTCGAAATGACAGGATAAGAGATTTAAAATATTCCATCATCTGGTTTGTCCTTTGCTAAGCTAATTATTTTTGATTCCTTCATGGTAATTGGAGTGTTTGATGTCAATGGACTGTGCCACTGGCAAATCTCCCCTTTGTTGTTACTGTTGTTCTTTGCTTTTCTTGGGAAAAATCTGCCCTCAGTGTCCCAGTTTAGCAGGGCAGTACAGGGCAGTACAGTTAGTACTTGTTTTACTACTGTAGAATCTAAGAATCATTAGCCGCAGGGGTCCCATAATATTCAAAAACAAGCAAAATACTGTACTAAATGCTGAAGTTGGAGAATTTAAAACTAAAATGAGTGAGTCATTAAGGCCAGATGGCTTTAACCATATCACTGTGCTTTGTAATTCCTTCATTTTAACATGAACCTTTGTGATTTGTAATGCTCACCTCAAATACAAGGTGAACATTTCTACCACACTCCCATTCCCTCAAGCTTCTTATCCAGTTTAGTTTTTAATCTGTGCTGGAGAGGAACTCCTCCCCACTGACTTGTGACTCTCCAAGCCTCTTGCCCCCCCCCCCACTTTCCTTGCTGTGGCTCTTGCTGCCATATGTGGGAGACAGAAACCTCTTTCTCCACATCATAAACCTGGTGCTGCTACAGCTGTTGTGCCTCCCCTTTGTAAGCAGGAGTGCAGATGTTTGTTTAGTCGCCTCCTGCCATTGCTGCATGTGATAGCAATAGCGTTAGGTAGGATGGGCAGGTAGGTGGTGCAGGCAGTTGCAAAGTCACAACCACCCCCACTATCTAGTAAGGAGAAGTGCATTATAATCTGTAGGTGTCAAGTCAACACTGTTCCTGGTCTACCAGAAGTAGAGGAGAGGTGGGACAATATAGAGGGCAGGAACAGCAGTCAAGTGAGGCCTGTTGAAAGAGGAATGTCTTGGGCAAGTGCTGTAAAGAAAATAGAGAAGGTGCTGGTCCAATACGCCAGTGTTTCCCAACCGGTGTTCCGCGGCACACTAGTGTGCCGCCGGACGTTGCCTAGTGTGCCGTGGGAGGGAGGCGGGCGAGTCGGGCTAATCCTCCGACGAGCTCCACCTCCAGACCCATTGCTCAAATCCTTTAACCCAGGAGGGCGGGGAGGGGGGGGAGAAAGAGAAAAAAGAAAGGGTGGAAAAAAAGACGGGGAAGAGAAAATATTTTTTTAAAAAAAGGAAAGAGAGGGAAAAAAGCGAGGGATGGAGGAAGGGGAATAAACAGAAGGGGAGGACAATGAAGAGGGGCGGGGCTTGGCAGGCAGCAGATAACTGGGGAGGGGGGCGCGGCTGGCGGCGGCTCAAGGCAGGAAGGGAGGAGCTGCCTCGCGGAGAGTCTTGGGCTGCAGAGATTTCCCGTTCAGGAGCGCGGGAGGCCACGCCGTGGATGGGAATCTCCTCCTCTTCCTCCTCCTCCTCCAGGAGAGAGGGTGGTCCGCCCCACCGAGTCGGGCCTGCTCAAGCGTGGGAGCCTATAGTTAGAGCTCAGCTCCTTTTCTTGCCTTCCCCGCCCCCCCACGGAGCACATTTTCCTCGCCCCCCCAACCCCCGCATGTAGAATAGAAGCCCTCCAGCCTCCACGGTGCACAAACTCTCCCCTCTGCAACGAAGCGCTTTGTTGCATATCTTTGGTGAGGTTTTTAGGCAGTCTTGGTGCACCTTAAATCAGCGCTAATTGCGCCTGGACGCAGTATTTACTTCCGAGTAGGCCCCCTTCTCCCCCCCCCCGGTAGCACCTGACGTTGCTATTCGTATCATCAGGTTTGTTTGTTGATAATTTAATTGTTTTAAAAGCATCATGCTGAAGAGCTCTCTCCCACCCCCAGACCCTTGGGCAAAACAGAAACACACACATACACAAACACAGAGATTGAGCCCTGCAGGTTTTATGAAATGAATGGATTCTGAATGCCTGTTTCAGTGGCTTGTCCGCCTTAGGCTGCTGGGCCAGACACCTGTTACACGGTGCAGTCCGTAAGCTGTGAGCGCTGCTACCTGCTGCCGAGACCACGTAACGACAGTCTTGAAAGACCTACATTGGCTCCCAGTACCTTTCCGAGCACAATTCAAAGTGTTGGTGCTGACCTTTAAAGCCCTAAGCGGTTTCGGTCCAGTATACCTGAAGTAGCGTCTCCGCCACCATTGTTCAGCCCAGACACTGAGATCCAGTGCCAAGGGCCTTCTGGCAATTCCCTCACTGTGAAAAGTGAGGTTACAGGGAACCAGGCAGAGGGCCTTCTCGGTAGTGGCGCCCGCCCTGTGGAATGCCCTTCCATCAGACATCAAAGAGATAACCATTACCTTCTATGCTGTTACTATTTTTTTATTTTTTTTTACATAAGTAAAAAGTGACCTTTCCCCATCTGGCATGGTGGTGTGCCTCGAGATTTTTTTCATGAAACAAGTGTGCCTTTGCCCAAAAAAGGTTGGGAAACACTGCAATACGCAATGGATGGGAGGAGTTCCAAATGGTATGTGCTGTCACACTAAAAGCCTGATTCCAGCATCACGTGGAATGGATCTCATGAATGATAGATAGTATCTTCAGGATGCCCTCTCCTGCAGAACAGTGATCAATTTGGTATCTAGTGAGTAGAGAATCTCTTGGGTACTCTGGTCCCAAGCTGTGCACACCAGGACTTTGTACACCAATACCAGCACCTTGAACTTAGTATGGTGTTTAGCAGTCAGTGAAATTATTTCAGCAGCAGCATAACATGGTTGCAACATCAGGACCCAGTGAGCAGCCAAGCCATCACATTGTGCGGTAGGAGATTGCAATGGATGTGGCATCGAGTTATAGTGTGGCCTTACAGAGACCAGTTAGTTTTGTGACATCTAGTTGGTGCAATGGTCTTTAGGTGCCAGGCAAAAAGTTTCCTCTATAACCAGGACTTTGGCCTTTAAATATAGTGGCCTTTTAAAAGTGGGTGGGATGTTTTTAATGTACAGTACAGTATTTCTTTGTCCTCTTGGTTTTAATGTATCTATATAGAGTTCTTGTATGTTTGTTTGATTGTAATTCATGCTGACCACATGACCCAGAAGCTGTACGCTGGCTCCCTCGGCCAATAAAGCGAGATGAGCTCCGCAACCCCAGAGTCCGCCACGACTGGATCCAATGGTCAGGGGTCCCTTTACGTTTGCCCTTTGCCTTGGGCAAGCCAAAGCAACTTACAGCCGAAAAATAACACAATGGTTAGGTGACTGTGCACACAAACCTATCCTTTACTTCTACTTTTTTATGTTGGTTTAAGATCCATTATTACAAATTACTCTCCTGCCAGGAGGAGCTCCTTCTCTTTCCACCACCTTTTCCTTGTTCTTCCACTTATTGCTGCGTTTTGCAGTACTGCTGCTTCTCTCCATATCTGACAAGGCTCTTTTATGGGCTGTTCATTTCTTTTCCAGTCTCCCCTTGTCCTCTTGGGGATTTCTCTTCTTCAGCCAAGCTCTTCCATTCGTGATGTGAACCCCCTCTTCCATTAATTCTATATTTGTTTGAGTTTTCAAGTTCATTTTATCACGATCTCTTCAGCTGCCCTTCTAACTTTCATATTAAAAAATGGCTAAACGTGGCCTCTGGGAAACAGGGAAATGCCCCGGCCCCGCGGCAGTAATTCATAGCTTCATTCGTACACGGCACAGTGTGAAGAGGGAAACTTTGCTTCCCACAATCAGATCTAACCCTCTTGGCCACGGCGAGCAACAACGGGGTGTCCCGAACACAAGAGAAGCAGCGACCCATTCATATTTTATTAGTTTTAAAACATCAGCCCCCTCGGACGAACCCGTTTTGCTCAACCCGCGAGCAATAAGGCAGAACTACAGCTCCCAGAAGGCCTTTCGTTGGCGTAGGCCCTGTTGCCAGAAATTACTGGATGAAGCGCCTCAGCCGGAGACCAATCAAAGCTCTAGGTGCTCTTGGGCGGATGTTTCCTCCTCCTCCTGTGGAGAAGTGGGAGACTTTGAAAAGTTTCCAGGTTAGGATTCGGGGCGCGCGGTGAGGGCGACGGGTTCGGTTTCCCCGCAGCGTTTCTCCTTAGCAGGCCGAGTCAAGAAGTCTCTTGGCTGCCACTTCTTCCCAGGGGTGTGTGGGTGTGTGTGTATGTGTATGTGGCGGTTGTGTGCATGTTGTGTGTGCGGGGGTCGAAGGTAGTTCCTGCTGCCGCCGCCCTGTCCTGGATATGTGTTGTGCACGCTATATGCTGGGAGCGTGGAAGGGAAATAGATGGTGCGCGCAGCGTACCGTTGGGAGCTCGTGCTTTTGGAGGGCCTGGCTGCTGCTTTCGCCTGCGGCCGCCGTCGCTTCTCTCAGCAGTGCCTGGGCCGCCAAGCTGGAGCTTTCCCAGAACGTGGACTCCACCCTACAGCCCTATAGGGGTTCCAGCGCAATCCTATATATGTCGCTTCGGAAGTAAATCCCGCTGCGCGCAGTGAGACCTCGAAGTGTGCATACGATTGTTCGCTAGAGCGTGTTCTCCTCCTCCACAAGGAACGGGCAGGGCTATCTTGTGGCAAGGCTGCTTCTCTCCTCATTTAGCAACGTACCAAGACTTTACCGACTGTTAATTCTTATGGGGCGTTATGTTTTCCTAGGTCAAAACACAATATTTTCTCACAAGGAATCTTTTCCTGCCAGCTGGTGTGGTAATTGTAGTAACCTGTGTAGTTCTGGCAGATGGCATGTCTGTACATATTTCAACTTGCGCTTATGTGGCATCACTGGCGCTGAACAGTTTCCTCCCCCTTTGGTATTTTGTGACATTAAAAGTTATATCATTCTAAATAAACTTTTAGAGACTGAACACTTGCCCCTTACTATCTGGTTCCAAAAAGTCTGGGTTCATTACAAGGTTTACTGCACAAATCTAAACCTGTCTGCTTGGTAAACGGCGTTTCCGTGTGCGGCTCTGGTCTGCCAGAGCAGCGATGTCACGCTGGCCACGTGACCCGGAAGTGTCTCCGGACAGCGCTGGCCCCCGGCCTCTTGAGTGAGATGGGCGCACAACCCTAGAGTCTGTCAAGACTGGCCCGTATGGGCAGGGGTACCTTTACCTTTACCTTTTTAAATGTGGAGTAATTAGGGTGGAGAGAGAAATGAAGGGTGAAACCTAATGTGCAACCCTGGATGGAATAAAATGAACTGAAGTGAGAAATGCAGGATACAGAGTTGGTTTTGCATTTTTTAAAAAAGACATCATATGAACATGGGTGTGGCCAGGATTTTTGTTAGGGGGGGGGCAGGACCGAAGTGATTGGCCAGTTAGTTTAGTAGTCCTTTTGTTTTACTTGACGGGGGCAGCTGACCTTTTCTGTCCCACTTGGCTACGCCCATTCATATGAAATAAACAACTGATCCCTCAAGATGTTGTGCAGACACCTGTGATAAAACCATGACCTTTTAAAAACACAACCAACTAGTGTAATATGATATAATGAAAACACTGACAATTATCACTAGCAGTGAGGGAATGATACTGTGCACATAAGCCTAGGATTTATATTTGTATTATAAGTACTAGACTTGGGTGCACAACACCATTCTCTCATTTGAGTGACCACAGCCATCCTTGGGCATCTAGTATTAAAGGGAATGGCTTTCATATAGCCTTGATTCCTAGCATATCTCTTTTACAAAAATTTGACATTTTGGGGAGGCTGAGATAAATACAATACAGCTGAAATTATTTTAAGAATAGCTGTGACCAAAGTATTATTTGAAAGCTATGGGCTGTGCTTCCAAGTAAATAAATTCATGTGAACCTAAAGTAGATTCAATCCATGAGTTGAGATACGTGTTAATCAGAATCACAGTTCTGCTTCCCAGGAACATCAGCCTGCCTTTGAATCACCTCAGGACACTGTCTGCAAGAAGACCTGACCATCCCTCTCAGCCAGTGGGGACTGGTGCCCATTGGGATTGCTAGGCTGGTACCAATAAATTGCTTGTAAAAAGGGGGGAGGGATTGCTAGGCTGGAAGGCAGGGAGGTCAACAGTATGTGAAGCCAAAGCCAGAGACAGACAGAGCCAACAAATACTGGTTATGTCCTTGTCCTGCTGAATTTTAGAATGGCAAAACCAAGGGTACCGCAACTGAGCTGATTGTATGTAAGACGTCAGGCAGGTGGGAGCTGGTTGAGGGAAGAGTGAGGTTGGTGAGTGGTGTTTCTTTCACCTCAATGGACTATCCTATTCTGGTTTCAAGCCCTGTTTCTAAGCATGAAACTTTAAAAACACAAGGACCCTACACTGAGTACAAGTTGGGAGAAAGCTCCTGGTTGAACTTGCTGGCCAGAAAGAGATACTCGTGACTGCTTTGTTTTGAGTGTCATTCCAGTGCCATTTGTGTAAGCTGAGGAAAAGTAAAGGGCCACAAAGGTCTCTGGGCATCTTTTGGTTGCATTGCAACTGATGCTAGGAAGGGGCCAGAACTGGATTTATTACTATTCATGAAAAACAACAGATTAAGTGAGACGGATGTGCTCATATTCAGCATTATATTGAATAAGAGATGTAATAAATTCAGTAGAATGAAGGCAAAACTCTTAAGGGAGGATGTGAACACATTGTTCTTGAACATAGTGTTTCAAGTAATCTTGCATTTATTATGACCTAGGATTGTGTTTCTTGTCACGAAATATATGAACATGGCAAGTAAGAAACTGAGAAGAGCAGGTTTGCCGCAGGAGCTTTGTAAGAGACTCAGTCGACATCAGATCACTACTTGTCAGGTGAGACAAATTTAATAGAGGCATAAAGTCTTCTGATGTTACGTTAAAGGATACATGGCATGATTAACACCAATCTTTGAACTCTTGTCATCTTAATTGCAGAAGAAAATAAATGTTTTAGAAATTGCTTTTAAATATGTGAAGTTATTTTAGTCATTTCCACTCTTAATTCTCCCAGATTTTTGTTTGGTAATGTTTCAGGATTTTTTATGTCTTTCGCTACTGGAGTTAATGAAAGTGACTGGACAGAGTTACTGGAATGTACAGAAGCTTCTTCACACCGTCAGCCAAGCCTGTGCTCCCAGAATGCAAACTGTAAGTATCCATTTGCTGATAGCTTGGTGGGTAGGCATGAGACTCTTAATCTCAGGGTTGTGGGTTCAAGCCCCATACTGGGCAAAAGATTGCAGGGGTTGAACTAGCTGACCCTCATGGTTCCTTCCAACTCTACAATTATATGATCCCAGGATAGGAATGACTCTAATTGTTATTGCTATGTGTGTCTCCTGTCACATCTTTCTACTTGTAGGGGACACTATACTTCAGGTATTAACAATAAATGTGCTTAGCTTTAAAAAGGTTTTCTCCTTATAGAAAGGCTCACAGGAAGGAAGTAACATATGAAGTGAGCCTTGTTCTTGGAATATTTGTACTAGCAAATGCTTTCTTAGTATATGGCAGAGAAATGGCACAATACATTATTCTCTTGTATGTCAAACAGATAAACTGCTTCATGTGTTTTGGAAGAGGGACTTAGTTGCCCCTGCACTGTTCATTTTCTCTGGAGTTACCATCCTTTGTTCAGTTACTTTTTACAGGACATCCAAGCAACATCACATAGCTTTCTGTGTTATCCAGCTGTAATGTTTTAGTATTTTTTGTCTAAAGTACAATTAGCTATGCGTACAAATCTAACAAACATTTGCCTTCTACCAAAATCTGTTAGGGTATCAATACTTTGAGATTTAGGTTGCATTTAGGTTTGTAATAGTTTGCATAAGTCTTGAAAACATTTTATTTTTTTTAATCTTAATCTGAGGCACAAAGCCTTCCCTTTTCAAATATAACCTTTTCAAGCAATTCCAACATGTTGCATCAAAGCAAAGGGTTTTTGGGAAAGAACCTGCTTGCTTTGTACCTGTTGTTCATGTTAAACACTTTATTAGATTTTTAAAATATATATATAAAAGCTTCAGAACTCTGTACAAAAATCTCAATAAGCTGGGAATGTTATATACACACTTACCTGTGAGTAAGCCCCATTGAGTTCAGTTGGACTTAATTCCAAGCAGACAGGTTTAGATTTGTGCAGTAAACCTTGTAATGAACCCAGACTTTTTGGAACCAGATAGTTTTGTCTTGGTTTGTGGTTTTTACTGTGTGTATGTTTTCCAGCTGTACTTAACCACAAGGATAATATTTTCTCTGAAGTGGTACTTTGCAAATTAAATGATGCATATTGTCCCAAAGAGGGGAAAATATTTTAAAGCTTGGCACGATGATACAAGATATAAATTGAAGGCTGTAGCATAAAAATGTTGATAGACACAACAGTCTTTAATATTGTTTTGTGGTGTTTGGTTTGGTCGGAAGATTGGGGAAAATCTCATTAAAGGATGAGAAAGTACATGGCATTTTTTTTTGCCAAGCACTAAGAAATTCTACTTGGGAGCAAACAAATACCAGACATTTTTCTTACCAGTTGATCGCAACATCTTTTTCTAATTGATTTTGGTTATTGTAGGTTTATGAAATGAAAATGAAAAGAACCACCAACCCTTCATCAGCATTCTTGCCCACAACACTGGGAGATCTGGATAAAATATTGCATGGTGGGATTGCCTGTGGCTCTCTTACAGAGGTAAAAGCTGGCCAATCATGCCGCTTCTTTTTCTGTAATAGAAGAGTTGTTTTATGTTTTACATAAAAGGGGTGACTATTCATTAATAAGTTTAAAATGTGACAAACTGAATCTTTTTGTACATTAATAACTGGTTGTGGTTCGAGCAGGTTATGGGCAGTTGCAATGCTTGGTTGCAACACAAAATCATAAACCATGTATGAACAAATTAGTCTGTGCCATGATCTGTGTTCTAGTCTACACAGTTTGCTTCTCACTTTCTCCAGCAGGAAAACAAGCCATGAAGCACTTGCTTAGTGTTATGAATGCACTAGACCTTGTGGTTTGCTTAGCTTCAAGCATGCCACTTTCTGAAGCCAAGGTTTGTTCCTGGCTTCCCAATGGTGGCTTGTTTGAGATAAACAAACCACAGAAGCTGGTTCAGACATAATATGAAGCTAGCCACTCTGTGGTCTGTTTTCCGGTTGGAGGAAAGGAGCAAAGTGTGAACAGCTATGTTGTGTGCATCAGCACACATTTCATATACAAACTAATTGGCTTAACCATGGTTTCGTGGTGCATCTGAATGTAACCAGTGTTTCTCTGTTTTCTACAGGGGGTTATGTGAATGTTTAGGCTCCCTGAGAGTAGCTTGTAGGCACTTTGTTCCTCCCTGGTCTTTTTTACTCCAGCACTGCACTGACTTGAGCCAGATTTTAGTTTATCATCTGAATCTGCGCTTGTAGTTAAGCTCCTCACTAGCCACAAGGTTTAGCCAAGAACATAAGGAGACAACATAACCTTGAGCTTGGGTTTAGATGACATTCTAAGGCAAACCTTAGCTTAACTTAGTGCAATACAGGAGTAAAAAATACTGGGGAGAAGCAAAGTGGCTGTGAGCTCTTCTTGGGAGACAGGGCACAGCAGATAAAGCAAACATGATCAGCAGATCAGTAAAAAATGTTCAGCTTGGTAGGTCAAATGCTGAAAAAGGAACTTCTTAGCAGGTGGCCAAAGGTTGACGAAGAGAGGGCAAGTTGGAGTTTCATAGCCCAGGTTTGCCCGCGGAGAAGGGTATTTCCCACACCCCACCCAAATTCATGTATTTATTTCCTAAAATGTATATACTGCTTGATTGTAAAAAAAAAGCAAAACAAAACCAACTTCAAAATTTAAGCCTCAAACTCATCTGAACTACTAATCCTTGCATTAAGAATCTTTTAGTGAAAAGTACCAGTATAAAGTTTCTAAAATAAATTGCAGGGGAAAGCGCAAAAGCATCCTATAGATTGTCTCAGTGCTCACTCAGTTGTCTGTTTCACTGTGTGTAGTGATAATTGTCAGTAGAGACATGGGATTTTCCTACCTTTTCCTACATGAAAAATGTAGCAAATGAAGAGCCCCTCTCATTCCAGTCCTACACTGCTCTTCATCTTCAGATAGTTAACAAGAGAGTATTAAAATAACTCCACAGGTTAAGTCTCTTTTGCAAAGCTTTCCTGTTCACCTGACAGGAAGCAGCTCTTTTGAACTCATCAACCTGATAAAAATGTACTTACTTTTCTAGTTCAGAATTTTGACATGGCCATTTGTGAGATACTTCACACAATAATGGATAGAAGAGATGTTCTTTTGTAATATACATTAGCATTTTTGGTCACCCTGGAGTATTCAGTGAAGACGAGCTAACACTGCCAAATGTTTCCCATGTTTTAGAATAATCATCTTGAAGAATACATGGGGGGATGTCAGAATGCAGAAACTATTTGAAGAATTGCTTTGTGAACAAAACATAAAAGTTATGCTTGTATTTATCTTGCATCAAACTCCAGACAGCGTTCCCATTGTGTAATTTAGCTTTTTTATGTGGATGCTTGTGTGATAATCATGCACAGCAACAATTTGAAAGCCGATGTAGTATAGTGGTTAGAGTGTCATACTAAGCCCTAGAAGACCAGAGTTTTCGCTTGACCATGAAGCTCACTGGCTGACTTTTGGCTGGTCACTGTCCCTCAGCCTAACCTACCTCACAGGACTTTTGTGAGGATTAAATGAGGACGGGAAGAACCATGGATGCCATCTTTGGAGAAAATGGTGGGATATAAATGCATTAAATAATAAATTAAAGAAGGATGCATATGGCAGTATTTGCGGCATGTCACTGCTATGTACTACATCGTTATGAAGCTGAGATTGCAGATGAGCCCCCCCTAAAGTGCAATACTCCATCTTGATCAAATGTAGCTTCAGTTTAGCTTATTTTCTTCTCGGACTGTTTATGTTAAACTTGGGACGACAGCTAATGCATAGCCTGCACTTTTACCTCAAAGGAATAGTGTTTTATTCCCTACTTTTTGTGGTTACGCTTTTTAAGCTAAATCTTTCTGAAAAAGTTGACCTGTCTTTCTTCTTACATTATCCAACAATGATGGTGGTTGGAAAGTTGGAACTTAGCTACATGAGCCATGTAAAGTAAAGGTTTAAGTGATATCCTCTGCTGCCAGATCTTGTGCTTGTTTTCTAAGAGCCAGGAAACTCTGTTGGCACAGGACCTTTTTTTCCAAACCACTAGTGTGGTTTAAACTGGAAACTGAATTGTAAGTAACTCTTTGCGGTCAATCAACTCATGTTCTGCAAATAACATACCATTAACTGAAAAAGAAAAGTGTCTCTTTCCAAAGAGGAAAATTTGAATGCTGTTATCATAGTGAGGTCTCTATTACATGGGCGGACACCTGATTTCAAATTAAAATTGGAATAAGATGAACTATGAATTCTCAACAGGTTTGGGAATTACATTGTTCTAAAGAGTCAGCATATTACTGCTTGGTGGATTCATTCCCTCAGCAGATTCAAAATTTATGGGTACAGTGAGCCAAAGGTAAATATTTTTAAGCCCTGCTGACCTTGGTGGGACAGAGTTAAGTTTTACTCAACTTGCCCATTGGAATCAATGTGACTTGGATGCTGCAATCCTATATGTGCTTAACCTGAATTCAATAGGTCTTAACTTCTGAACAGCCATGTATAGAATTACTTTATAAGATTGCTTACCTTTGGCAGGATTGTGCCCAGTGTATCGGTTCTTAGACTCCACCCCCCCACCCCGATATATAAAGCAAATATACTACTTCATGGAATAATAAATACTCCTGATTTAGGTGTGTCCGAATGACTTGCAATTGCATACACGTGTACGGCAGCGTGCATGTCACAAAAGGGGTGAGGCAGGTGTGAAGAGGGTTTATATGCACCATACTGACACGTATGGGAGTCTGGAGTGGAACCCCCATGCAAAATGAGGATTGCCCATATACACAAAAGCAATATTCAAAAGCTACAAAAATATCTCACAGAATTAATATATGATTTTGTTATCCTGCCACAGGTTTGCTTGTTTTTCCACTAAAGTGTGTTTGTGGATTAGAAGTTGAACCTTTAAGGTTCAGCTTATCATTGCCATCAGTTTGAGATACACTGTGAAATGCTAAGTTACATGAGTTGCAAGTGAATAATGTGCCGTTGGCTAAAATAAAAATCAACAAAGGTTTTGTCTTTTCTGTATGATGCTGCTTCATACGTGTTCTTTTGTTATTAGATAACTGGTCCATCAGGTTGTGGCAAGACTCAGTTTTGTATTATGATGAGCTTGCTGGCGACGTTTCCCACCAGCTTGGGAGGATTGGATGGGGCAGTTATATATATTGATACAGAATCTGCATTCAGTGCTGAAAGGTAAGTTTACACACACACACACACACACACACACACACACAGAGAGAGAGAGAGAGAGAGAGAGAGAGATAGAGATCTTTATGGCATTTTTCATATGTCAATGCATATTGCAAGGGTGCAATCTGAAAGCCTCGTATTGTCAGATCTGTCATCCGCATCCAGCCTTTGCAAGATCTAAACATATACAGAGTCCAGATCCTGTATGGCTCTGGAAGGTGGAAGAAAGACATAGCAGCTTGTAAGCCTGAGGTGCCCTGTTGTATCTGCTCTGGCAAGTCACATAAGGTGCCAGATCTTTGAGGCCTCGTATGCTTAAAGTCTTCTGGAACTTGACTGTCTCTGCTATTGCTGTAAGGGGAGACCTGTTGGCAAATCTGAGAAGTGCAGTGTGTGGCTGCAAACTTAGGCCTGTTGAAGTTTGTTTTGACACCTTCAGGGGCATCTAAAGTGTTCTCATTTGAAGCATTGCTGCCATATGTTTACTGCTTTTCCATGTTGTATTTTCATTTCCTTTTATTATGTATTTGAGCTAACATGACACTCTGTATTCGAGCTCTCTTTATTCAGAGAGCATTTATGGAATGCAACGAAGTAGAAAATCTGCCTCCATTGAAAATCAGTGTCATAACCTCAAATAGTGTAATGAAGCTGGATTGCAAATTCTACACACCTTTTAAGAGACTTAGTTTGTTGCGTATGTGTGTTTCTCTTCATTTTCAGAAATTCTGAAAATGAACTTGAAAGTTTGCAAAACATTCTTGAATTCAGATGCAAATCCTCTGTGCCAGATGGGCGGGGTATAAATAAATAATAAAATTATTGTTATTATTAATGTCAGTGGCATGTCTTTTGGGTTCCTAACAGGCTTCTTGAGATGGCACGGCACCGTTTTCCTGATTATTTTGCCACAGAAGAAAAGCTGGTTTTAATTGCCAACAGAATTCATCTTTATCGGGAATTCACCTGTCACAGTGTGTTGAAAAGGTAGGACTTCTTTCTGGGGTCCAGCAGTTTATTAGATGTGTGAAAAACATTCTATATAGAAAATATAGTGGTTGGGCAGAATGATAACACGCCTTAAGGCTTAGCATTACAGTATTTTACTATGTTTTTCCTGCCTGAAACACATTGACACTTGCTGACTCTAAAGGAAACTATTTTTGTACCTTGTTCTTTACTGTTCTAAGTGTTTCTGTGTGCTGTGTGTACAATAAACAAAGGAAGTGAGGCTTTTATATGTTAGGATTGCATATTTGTAGGTAGCTATGTTTTCGTTTAACTAGAGATGTCAGGGATTGAACCTGGAAACTTCTGCCTGCAAAACTTGTGCCTGCCCTTTCACAGAGGGTTAGACCCTTACCGAAATATGAAATGGAAAATAGCAATCTACAGTCTGTGATAGAAAGCAGATTCTGTGCAAACTTGCATTGAGTATTTAGAAAGCCTTGCTTATAACCAATGGGCTTCTCTGTTCTATTAGAACTATTCAGGTACAGAAAACTCTTGATATCTTGGTAGCAGTATATGTTTGCACTTGTAACATTTGACCCCTGCAAAGCAATTGCCTGTGAACAATCTTTTTATAAGATTATTATTCGGAAAGAAGAGCTATTACAAATATTATTGCAAATCAATTTGTTTTCCTTCTGCTTATTCTTTTTAGTTTATATTTTAAGATATATTAATGGTTTATGGATTATTTAATGAAGTATACCAAAACACACAGGCAATGTTGCCTTACCCAACACGTTTAAATGTATGCTTTAAAGTGTGAAATCAACACACATGTTCAAAACACATGCATCGTGGAAATACACTGGTAATTGTAAATGAATTGAAATTGACCAGTGAATGTTCATGAGTGTAGAACAAGGTTTGCTTGATTAAATGAGAAATTATCTTGCAAGATATGTCCATGTTCACAGGTATAGCTCTCAACCTTGTTGGCATGCAGGATTCAATAAGTGAGTTTAAAGGAAAATATCAGGTCTCTGTACCAACTTTGCCACTTGCATATCTCATAGCACCTAACACACTCTAAATCCTGGTATAGTATCATTGCTAAATGAATGCTTCAATTTGTTTTCAGGATTGAATCTTTGGAAGAAGAAATTATTTCAAAGAATGCCAAACTAGTAGTAATTGACTCTGTTGCTTCTGTAGTCAGAAAAGAATTTGATACAAAACTTCAAGGCAACCTGCAGCAAAGGAGCAACTTACTGAGTAGGGAGGCATCAATACTGAAGTACTTGGCTGAAGAATTTTCAATACCAGTAAGTTTCTCTCCCTTTTTACTTTGTGCACATATGCATATGTATTCAAGTGCAAAGTTGTTAGTTGTTTGGATGGCAGGCACAAGAGATGGATTGCCCATCTCTTCTGCGTGGATTTATATCATGAGGATATTGTGGCATGCTTCATCATCAGGCATTTGGCTGAGCATCATCAGGGATCATCAGGCATTTGCTGTTGTCTCCCTGTTGTGTGTGTTGAATTTTCATTGACTAAGCAGTGAGATATTTTGAACTTGGCAAATGTGGACTGAGGTTGTATTGCATCATAATAAAATGGAAAATGTTTCACAATATGTCCACTTTATTAGACTTACGTTTTATCTAGAGTTACTGGATACTTTGGGGTTGGAAATTTGAACATTGCTTTTAATGAAATATAGTGTGTCCATCTTTAGTCATTTGGCATATGTTTAGTGGTTCTGGTCCTTCAGCTGATATGCTTAGCACTTTATTAATTATAAATTTACTAATTATTTTAATACATAATAAATATGCTACCTTTTTGTGCAGTGTAGGGGTGGCTACTTGGAGAAAATTAAAAAATATATACAATTAATTGATTAAAGACCCAACACTGCCTGTACAGGAAGGCCTGGACACTGCAGCAGAAGGCAAACAAGGATCTCCATAAATCAGATGTACAAAGTCTGATGTGGCAAGAGAAAAAGCTCTCCTTCTCTTGTTCCAATTATCCATGGTTTGGGGCCTCTATGGATCCTCTTAATTAATGTAATTGGGCAGAAGGTGAATTTTTGGAACAAAACATTCTATTCAGTGAAGAAAAAGAAAACTGAACTTTAAATGTAACACCACCATAGGAAGAAACTGGAAAGTACTCAACTCGAAAATGATAACACTCCATCTGACAAATTGATCTGGGGGACAGGCACGTGTCAGAGTATTTGAGGGAGATGTAGGGAACCTCCTGGCAGTCTTAGCATTCTTGACTGTGTTTGATTTGTTGAGTTAAAGTGATATGGGGTGAGGTTCAACTGAGTCCTGTCGGTGGAAGCCCTGTGCAAAGACTTTCATTGTGCAGTGTGGCCTTCCCCCCGCCTCCTCCACCCTGTTTGGCCCCCATATTGACTCTGGGGGATTGAAAGAATCCCCAGGATAGTGTGTGGTGGGGAGAAGAGTTGGGATTGTTCTGTCTGGCAAGCCAAAATGCTTGCACTGACAGAATTATTAGAAAAGCACAATGTTGGATTCCTCCCTTGGGGATATATCCAACAAGTTGCCGTGTTCACACAAGGGCTTGTGCAGTGGAACTTCTCCTCCCACCCCTCTTCCTGAGTGCCCCCTGCTCTCTGTTCTGGGGCGTTTAGGGAGTATCCAGAACAGATTTGGGTCAGTGGGTGAGAACTGGAAGGGGAAGTTCCATTATGTAAGCAGAAGTTCTTGCATGAACAGGATGATTTCATTGAATACAACTCATGGTTTATTTCAGACTTTGTCATATAAAGAGTAGCACTTCTGCCCCACCGCCATGTGTGCGTATAAGAGGGTCAGAAAATGGCCCGACATTCTAATGCTGAAAGTAGTTTGGCCCTGTAAACTGTCTGGAAATGGGATCACATTAGGAATATTTGTAAGTTGCCCTGAGCTCCGGAAGAGCAGGGCCAAATATAAAAATACAAAAACCTTAGGTAGATTTTGAGCATAGTTAATTAAATCTGTGTCAAAAGCAATATTTTGCTTTTAGACAAGTTTTTACTTAAGAACAATTTTAGAGAAGAAAAATCCCCAGGAAACCTAGTGTGATAGAATTTTTAAGCATTCTGTAAGTGTAGGAAGCATACTGTATTGAGTAATTTAAGAAAAAAATGTGTTGGGGAGATGTGATCCATCTGTGAACCCTTCTGTCTCTGACTGCTCTGGTTCTTGTAGCTTTTGCCTCAGTCAATCATACATTAGATTTAGGAAGAAAAGTTCCTGTGAAACATGGTAGGGGTTGATTTTATTTTTTGAAACCTGCTATAAAACTTGTCAGGTGTCTTGAAATACTAAAACATTAATCCATGCCTTTAAAATTGTGTGCAAAGGTAATGGCCCAGACCATCTTATTCAATGATACATGTTTAAAAAGGAGCCAGGAAAATGGTTTTTGACAAAGTAACTTTAACGACATTTCTGTTTGCATTTAGAGCAAATATGATGCATTCTTGGCAAAGTGGAAAGTTACATAATGTGTATGGAAGTTCTTAATACCTCTGTCTTTTAGTTATTTCATTTCAGTTGATTAACATTGTAAATTTGAGCTATAGAAAGCAATCCAGAGATGTTGCACTTTGCCCTTCCTTAAGAACATACAGACAGAATGCTAAGAAGACTGAAGCTTTTAATGTTTTCCAGAGATGCTGAATGAATGGAAAAGTTAAGCATTGATGCTTACTTTATTAATGTATCCTTTTGATACTTTAACCCTGTATATACTACAAACAGCCAGTTTAAAAGGAGGTTTGAATCACTGTTTAAATTCATAAAACAGCAGAGGAAATGTATAGTAATTTTGTGTTTGGTGTCTGTACTCCGTTTAGATTGATTAAATATGTTGCCTTGAACATTTGAATGAAAATGTAGTCAGAAAGTTTTTTTTTAAAAAAGGATTAAATTACAGTGGTACCTCTACTTATGAATGCAATCCGTTTCGAGGTGCCGTTTGCACCCCGAAAAGTCCTTAAGTAGAGTGGTGCTACTGCGTGTGCGCGAAGCGCAATAAAGCGCTTCTGTGCATGTGCGCAGATCGCTTCTGCGCGCGTGTGCGTGGCAAACCCCGAAGTAAACACTTCCAAGTTTGCCGCGTTCGTAACTTACTTTTAAACTTCCACAAAATTGGTGGAGGGCTTTAAAATATTTTTTTAATTTCTGAATTGCTTTTTATGTTTGTCTTATGGCAATCTACAAAACTTTTTCTAGCTGTTTTTTTGCTGCTTTATGAGGTGTTAATTCAACTAAGCTTTACCCAGGGTAGACTTACTGAAACTAATGAACATGACTAAGTTGGGACCATTAATTTAAATTCATAGTGGATTTAACAGAAGTGAAGGCTAGGAAAATCTGTTTACACCCTTCCATGTGCAACTGTCTTTTAAGGTAGGCCAGTCTTGCCCCATAGCTATCTGGTATGCTGCCACCACCCTCCCTTTTAGGGCATCATCTCAACTCAAGCCATGGGTGGTTTCTGGGAGCCCAAGGCAATTACATATGAAGAGGCCTGGAGACAGTGCATTCTGTGCTTCTTGGCCAAATCCCTCTCCTCTTCACAGGGAAACAGAGCTGGTATCCAGCTGTCTATCCCACCCTAGAGATCAGAGCAGCTTGCTTGCTTTCCTGTCAGACTCCGCTTATTCACACAAGAAGTATGTGCCCAGTGTCTAAGCCTGTGGGAGATTACACTAACCCTTAGAGTCTAGCATCAACACAACCTCAGACCTCAGCAGCCAAATTATATAAAGTTGATTAAGAGTAACTAAGGAAGAAGAGGACCATGGGAATAAAGCAGACTTCAGAAAATAAAAAGAACATATCGGTTCAGGTCTGTTTGTCTTGCTACTTACAAACAGGCTTTTGGTCTCCCCATGAGAGAAAAAATAGTTCACTGGTAAATTGTAGTAAATTGCCATGTAGAGTTCGATTAGCTCCTGCCCTCTTCTTCAGGAAGTGACTTTTATCCCTCCCTTCACCCTTGTAGCAGGGTGAAATGTCCTCCAGCCTATCTGAATAACAGTATTTCATTGTGTAAAAATTCTCTTTTATTTATAGCGGTTAAAATTATTATCTTGCAACACAACATTTACTTTGAAAACTGTAACGGTTTAAATGAATTTATAACTAGTTTCAGTTTTGCTGACATCTGTCTCCTTTCAAGCCGGGTGTTTCAAGAATGCGCATTTTTGCAGTTTTATGGTCTTGACACAATGTTCCGTTTGGAAGAGTCATGCTCATAAAAAATAATGCTGTTGAGGAAAAGAAATGAAAAAGCTGGTGCAATATTTCCTGTTTCAGTGCCACAGAAAGGTGTAGAAAGGGAGGTAATACAGTAATACTGGATTGCAATTTAAAGTAATGAAGTAGGACAGGCCATGGTCTCTAATGGAGAGGTTGGGGCTTATGTTTACACATGGTTTGATGGTTAGAGCTGTTGGACAGATGTTGTCAGTGCCATCATGTTAAAACAATTGTATCTGCTTGTACCACTAATGAATGTTTTATTGTAATCTTATTTTAAGTAATCTGGGGGCCTAAACAACTTCAATTCTAAAAAACACTTTGGGGTAAAATCCTTTTAAAAAATCAACAATTTCAATCCTCCTAAAAAAAAGGTCAACCACCTTGGTTCGCCCCCACGGCCCTTGGCCCTTGACTTCATCAAATCTGGTCCTCTTTGAAAAAAGTTTGGACACCACTGTGCTAGACAATATGTGTGTGTGTGAATGTGATTGTTTCCTGGGATTGCCACCTTAAGATGGAATAACAGTGCGATCTTATATGTTGAGTTCAGTGGAGTCCCAGGTAAGTGTGCCTAAGTCAGCTCCCACTTCTTCCAAGTCATGTTTTAAGATCTGGATTGTTTCCCTCTTTAAATTACTAACATCTAGCGGGTAACAAAAGGTTCTTCTTAACTTTAAAAAAATCACAATATTTGGAAAATTTACTTGATCACTCCTAGCTCATACATGCTACTGCTGCATTCTAATTTTATACTACCTCTGTTATTTTTTTGTTTGGCTGTAAAGCAGGGCTGAGGAACCTTTCTAAGCTTGGGGGCTGCATTTCCTTCTGGCAGCTTTCCAAATATAATTCTCTGAGATGGGATTGGAACCACTGTAAAGCAGTGCCTCCCATACCGATCCCACTAAGTCATTTCATAAGGATACCATGGTCAAGGGGATCAGAAGCTCCTGAAAGATCAAGTAAACACAACAGGGTTGCACTCTGCCAGGCACCAGGAGCATTTTGCACCTGGCTGTTGGCCACTT